TATGTATATATATATATTATAATATATATATATATANATNTATATATATATATATATATATATATATATATATTTTATGTATCTTTTACTCTATGAGTGTGTGACGTGCATGTGTACAGGGCGATTTCAGTTAAAACTCTTATCATTTGATGTTGTCCTGGAATTCGCCAGTAGAATATTATACATGTTGATGCCCATATATTTGGTCTTGATATATTTATCCTAGTGGCTGTTACTGCTCGTATCGTATTCTAATTAATGTTTCAGATCTGTGCTATAAATATATGTTAGGTGAAAACACAAGGCAGGCGTAAACGTGAGCTATACCACTGTATAACACACGGTGCTATTCAAAGCAAAGCATCATTACTTGTATATTTTCATTTTTAATTGTCGGAACTACCGTGAAGTTATTCAATTTTACAAATTTATACGTAGTGCCGTGTATAAATGCCCGTACATGAACAGTGTGCAACAGTGTTGTGCACGTATATATTTCGAGTATAAACGTTTTTTAATTCCAAGATTTAAGCGCAGTCTAAGTTGATAGGCTATATTATGTGTGCTGATCTACCCACGCCCGATTTGTCAATGAGATTTGACGCTTAACATTGGAGTATTTATACCTCATGTGATCATATACGAAAATATACGCAGTTATGTACAGTTGCATGCACGTGACCGTATCTTACATACCACCTTCCGCGTTATTAACTTCCGAATACAAATTCGAGAATGTATCTCGTATGCAACAATCTTCTATGCTGGACAGTATCATCGTATATACAGAGGAGTTTTAGACTCATGCTGTCATATATGTATAAACTGATTGTACCTGAATGATGAACACGTTTCTTTCCACCTCCGGTTTGTGATTCGGTAATCAATAACAGGAGGCATGTTTCAGCCTGCGCACTATAATTCACATTGTAAAAATTATACAATAATTTATTCCTGTTTGTGCGATATGTGATGACGCTACTCCTTACTGTTTGTGATTAGATTACTGGTTATGTCCCTCGTTATGTCGCGCTCCGTTAAGCTGTCCTTGCGCGTCGCTAAGATTTGTCCTTGTATAAGTCTCGTGGCTACTTGATGATTCATTTTTAGATGGTACTGGGAATGCGTGAGAAGAGAATCAATTTGATCAATTTCAATTCAGTGAAGAGTGAACACAGTTGTGGTAGTTGCATATTTGGTCTAAGTATTTCATCGGATATGGGATTCCGCGTTAATCCCTCAAGCTGAACGCGATGAATTGTAATACTTGCACGATCACTTCATTTAAGGCTTCGAACATACCTGTAAGCTCCTCCATGCTTCGTATCTTCGCGTACAATTGTCCACGGGGCATTGATAGGCCCTATTTAGTCCCGCACTTTGTCTCCGAACACTATAATGGATGTTGAAAAGAATCAGAGACGAGCATCGTGTATCGCATTTAACTGCCGCCAAATCCTGTTTGCAATTACTAAGAATAAACTTCTTCGAACTTACCTCGCTCGCCGTGCTTTGTTTTTTTGTCTCTGTGTGGCCGGATTTTGTATTCGAGCGATTTTCATCTTATTTTGGGGTAGAGAATATATGCTTGGAGTTGCTAAGCTATCCAGACTCAACCTTGGTGCCGGATTAATACTTGGTGGTATATGCTGCGAGGGTTTCAAATCTACGTGGCCATCATTTGGATGTTGGCCACCGTGTGCGATTTGTGGCAGGTAGTCGCAGCTAGTTAAAGTGGGCTGGAAACGTATTTGTTCGTGCAGACCAGACACCGGGTTCAATCCCATGTTAAGCCCCATGTTTGATACATCTGTGTGAGATGTACTATAGTTCTTGTGCAAGCGATAACCGGGATTGCTGCTCGCAAACTCAGTTGCTGATGTGTATGAACCTGGAAAATAAAGCTCTGACGAGCCTCCACTGAACTCGGCTTCAGACAGTGAGGAAAGAGCTGACTTATATGGTGTCGGTGATACATTGGAAAGGTCTGACAAGGACTGTGATTTCATTATACCCAAGTTTGGACGAGAACCTATATCATCGCTGACAGATCCAATTCGACTGCACGGCCTCGACGGTGACACGAGTGGACGATGCGGAAAGACTTGTGAGGGGTGCTCTGTATTTATGCTGTTTAGGTTTCCCGATTGTGTATGTGTATCGCAATTTCGTGTATCTTGACCAAACATGTAAGGTTCAGCTTGAGAGTTCACCGAATGCATATTTGGAAGCGGAGCACTATCGTAGCGAAGTGCCGACATAGAAACACTCCTTTGTGATTGCCCAAGACGAGGCGCACCTGGTATATTGAAGTCAAGGCTACTATCTTGAACTGCCGTAGGTACCGGGATCAGTGACGAGCTTCTGTACCGTATCAAATCGGGCGATTCTTGCGTGTTTATAGGCTGCTCAAGGGAGGATGTGTAGCTATTTCGATTTGGAATTGTTATCTCGTTGTTAGAAAACCTACATATGTCCTCAAGAATCGCCATCAGCGAATCATTACCCGAAAACGACATGTCCTTGGTGTTCGTTTGCGTGTGCCCTTGGATGAAAGTATTTGTTACGTCCTGGAAAGAAGCCATTTTAAACAACTACAGCTGTTATGGCGTCTCTGCTATGTGCGTTTGTTTGAAGAGGTTATAAGAATGTGCCTGTACTGCGAAATTATGTATAAGGGTCAGATACGGCGATTTGTACACTGCTACACCTAAATGACTGTCTTGTCGTTTGGTTCCAAAAGAAGTATGCTTATTTCTAATGTACGATTACTATTCGGTGCAGGATTTGACGTGTAATGAAAGTATGTGATTGAACAGTGTTGCAAAATATCATACAGTTCAAATAGTGCCACTGTTTTGCTAATTTGCAAGTCAGTATATG